AACTCTGGGCCTGGGCGCTGTCCCTCAGCTGTTCAGCTCAAGGCTAGCGCTCTACCACTTGAGCCACAGCGCCACTTCCGGCTTTTTTCTTTTTTTTTATGTGGTGCTGAGGAATCGAACCGAGGGCCTCATGCATGCAAGGCAAGCGCTCTACCACTGAGCCACCTTCCCAGCCCATTCGTTAACCAAACTTGGAATTCCAAGATGTTAGGACCTCTGGTGAAGGGACAGCCAAAGTGAATTCTATTTTAGGCCACAAAGAATCTAAAACAATGCAGATAGGTCCTGATCACTAAAGAAATTCATTTAAAAATCAGATTCTTAGTAGTGGTGAACCTTGGGGTTCCATATCTTAACTCCTAATCGCAGTCTTGAGGTCTCAGGCCAGTCACCCTGAATCTCTAACACCGGTTATTCGATTACTGTGTGCTAAGCGTTTTACAGGCACATTCATTTAAAGTGCCAACCCCCTAGGAAGGCAGAGGCTCTCACACCCATTTTACCGGTGAGGAAACTGGGCCTGGAGGGAGAGGGGATTGGACAGATCACAGCCTGGGATCAGGCGGGATATGAACACGTGGCTTCAGTACATGCCTTGCCTAGTGGTGGGGGAAACTGGGAAGGGAAGCGTGGTGGGAGGAATGGAAAGGGAAGCAGGAAGGATTCTGGAGACCTGGGCCCCGGTTTGGGGGCTCAGCAGAACGCAGATCAGCCGTGGGTGCACGTACCTGCGTGTGGAAATGTCTCCTGAGGAGACACCTGCCCCCGAGAAGCTTTTGGGCACCGCTCCAAAATCTCAGCCTGTGATTGGTCAGATTGGAGGGGTTGGAGGACCCTGATTGGCTCATCCGGCCTCAGACCAGGCGTGCAACCCGGTTACGGAAGCCGAGAAGGGCCAAGAGTCGTCTCCATCTCTAGGAAGTAAAGGCTGCAGCAACCCTAGCAGCCTAGAAGAGGTGTCTGTGTCTCAATGGCGACCACGGGAACTAGCGGCAGCGGCGGGAAAAGCCAGGACGGCGAGACGTCCGTCACCTACTATCGGATGGAGGAGGTGGCGAAGCACAACACCGCGAAGGAAACGTGGCTGGTGATTCACGGGCGAGTCTACGATGTCACCCGCTTCCTCAACGAGGTGGGGCGGGGAGGAGGGAGGGCGGCCCCCGGGAGCCGCAGGGTGAGGGGTGACCGGGCCGCCCCGAGCGTGCACAGGAAGGAAACGAGGCCTGGCAGTGGGCGATAAGGCGGACCAAAGGGACCGCGACCCTCAGGGGGCCGGGGGCGGGAGGTCGCAGATCGGCGAGGATCTCCAGCCAGTACCAGTTCCCTTGCCAATTATGTAATCGCGTGCATTTCTTATGCAGCTTCTGTGCGCTAGGTTAAACTCTAGGCCGTCATCAGTCCCATTTTACACCTAGGGAAACTGAGGCTCAGAGGCAGAGAACTCTCAAGGTCATACACTCTCAAGGTTCTGATCCCTGTTCGAACCCACGTTGGAAGAGCCCCATACCTGTGATCTTTCCAGAATGCCTTCGGAAGTAAAACCGTGTGAGGATTAATACTTTCTTGAGGATCTGGGGCCCTCTTTTCTGGATTATGTTTTTTCCTCTCCTGCTTCGAGTTGACCTTGAGTCCAGAAGATCATGAGATGAACTTTTTTCTTTGCCATTGACCTAGTAAGATTCACTCTTCAAACTTGCTGTGTTAGATTTGGTTACACAAGTCTCAGAGATCATTGTGCAACTGAGTGATTTTTTTTTTTAAGGAGACAGTTTTAAAAATATTTATTTGTTTGAAGTAACTTTATTGACAGAATTTACATGCAATAACTTGCACCCATTTAAAATATACATATTTGCCGGGCGCCGGTGACTCACGCCTGGAATCCTAGCTTCTCAGGAGGATGAGATCTGAGGATCACGGTTCAGAGCCTACCTGGGCAGGAAAGACTCTCATCTCCAGTTAATCACAGAAGAAGCCGGATGTGGGCTGTGGCTCAACCACAGCTCCAAAAGGAGCCCACCCATAGTACCCAGGCCCAGAGTTCAAGACCCAGGACCGGAAAAAATAAAATGTACATGCTTGATAAGCTTTGACAAATGTGTTCAGCCTTCTCATTATAAACCCGATTAAGAAATAAGAGACTTGGGCTGGAGATGTGGTAGAGCACTCGCTCTAGCAAGTATGAGGCCTTGAGTTTATGCCCCAGCATTGCCAAAAGAAAAAAATATTTCTGTTATCTTAAGTAGTTATCTTTGTCCCTTTGCTGTGGTTATCATTCTCCCTAGCCCTAGAGAATTACTGATGTTCAGGCACTAAAGATAAATTTGAAGCTTTGATTTATGTGTGCTTATTTTATAATAGAGAAAATATTCTGTGGTCAATTTCCTGTACTACCTTTGTATAATATAACCTTACTGTAACTGAGAAAATTTTTTCCTGTTCATTTTCTCGGAGGCAAATTACTAGGAAAATATTTTTTTCTATTAATTTGAGGGCTAGTAAAATAGTTTTTCCATTCATTGCTACACTCTGACTCAATTGCATAAATGCTTTAAAAACTTAGCTTCCCAAAGAGAATATGTGCAAATATTTCTAGGGAAATAATTCAGGGATTTAGGAATTTTTCTATGTGTAGCATATTGGCATCTTTTTTTTTTGGGTCTGGTCGTGGGGTCTGAACTCTGGGCTTGGGCACTATCCCTCAGCTCTTCAGCTCAAGGTTAGTGCTCTACCACTTGAGCCACAACGCCACTTCCGGCTTTTTTCTTTTTGCTTATGTGGTGCTGAGGAATCGAACAGGGCCTCAGGCATGCAAGGCAAGCGCTCTACCACTGAGCCACCTTCCCAGCCCCTATATTGGCATCTTTTCTTTCTTTCTTTTCCTTCCTTTCCTTCCTTCCCTTCCTTCCTTCCTTCCTTCTTTCCTTCCTTCCTTCCTTTCTTCCTTCCTTCCTTCCTTCCTTTCTCTTTCTTTCTTTCTCTCTTTCTTTCTTTCTCTTTCTCTTTCTTTCTTTGTCATGGGGCCTGAACTCTGGGCCTTGGTGCTGTCCCTTAGCTCTTCAGCTCAAGGCTAGTGCTCTACCACTTGAGCCACAATGCCACTTCTGGTTTTCTGAGTGGTTTATTGGAGATAAGAGTCTCAAGGACTTTCCTTCCTGGGCTGGCTTTGAACTGAGATCCTCAGATCTCAGCCTCCTAAGTAGTTAGGATTATAGGCGTGAGCTACTGGTGCCTGACTGGCATTTTTTCTTATTTAAATTTAGGTGTGTGTGTGTGTGTGTGTGTGTGTGTGTGTGTATGTGTGTATGTGTATAAAATTATATATGTATGTTTTTGGAAGTACTGGGGTTTGAACTTAGAGCCTTGTGCTTTCTAAGCAAGAGGCCTACCACTAAGTAATGCTCCCATTCCATTTTGCTTTAACTATTTTTAATATTTATTTTTGTTGGTTGTGGGGCCTGAACTCCCTGAGTTCTTCAGCTCAAGGCTAGCTCTCTACCACTGGAGCCACAGTGACATTTCTGGCTTTTTCTGCTTATGTGGTGCTGAGGAATTGAACCCAGGGCTTCATACATGCAAGGCAAGCGCTCTACCACTGAGCTACCTTCCCAGCTCAAGGAACTTTTTTAAAATTTTGGTTGTGAGCTTGAACTCTGGGCCTTGGGCACTGTCCCTGAGCTCTTCAGCTCAAGGCTATCACTCTATCACTTGAGCCACAGCACCACTTCCTAATTATTTTTTAAATAGGGTTTTGAATTTACAGCCAGGTTGGCCTGGCCTTCAGTCTATCTACTAATGCTTCCCACAAAACTGGGATGTCAGTTGCCGGGCGCTGGTGGCTCACGCCTGTAATCCTAGCTACTCAGGAGGCTGAGATCTGAGGATCGAGGTTCAAAGCCCGGGCAGGAGAGACCGTGAGACTCTGATCTCCAATAAACCACCAGAAAACCGGAAGTGGCGCTGTAGCTCAAGTGGCAGAGCGCTCGCTTTGAGCTGAAGGGCTGAGGGACAGCGCCCAGGCCCAGAGTTCAAGCCCCACGACCGACAAAAAAAAAAAAAAAAAACTGGGATGTCAGATGTGCACCATGGTGCCTGTGTTTTTACTGGTTAATTTGAGAAACTTTTTGCCTGTTTTGGCCTAGAACCATGATCCTCCCTTCTCCACCTCACCAGAAGGTAGGATTGCTGGTTTGAGTAATACTTAGCTTTTTTTTTTTTCCCTTCCAATTCTGGGAATTGAACCCAGGGCTTCACATAAGCTAGTCAAGTGCTCTACCACTAGTACAATTCCTGGTTTGCTTTGAAAATAATTAGCCTAGGCTGGGAAGGTGGCTCAGTGGTAGAGTGCTTGCCTTGCATGCATGAGGCCCTGGGTTCGAGTCCTCAGCACCACATAAGCAGAAAAAAAAAAGCCGGAAGTGGCGCTATGGCTCAAGTGGTAGAGCGCTAGCCTTGAGCTGAAGAGCTGAGGGACAGTGCCAGGCCCAGAGTTCAGGCCCCACGACTGGACCCCCCCAAAAAAAAAAAAAAGAAGAAAAGAAAATAATTAGCCTAGAGTGATTCACTATAGTCCTATTTTAACGGCGGGTACAGAAAGAGGTTGAGAGAAAATCTGACCATATGATTGCTGAGTGACAGAATCTGGCTTAGAAAATCCCTTGATTTCTCTTGTCCACGTAGCATTGCTTTTATTCTAGCCTTAGCTGTGTCCTATGGTGACTGCCTTCTAATAAGTTTTAGGTTAAAGCATAGTTCATAATAATAGGTAGGCAGTGGTGTTTTTCTTTTCTTTTCTTTTTTTTTTTGGTTGTGGGGATTGAACTCAGGGTTTGGAGCTGTCCCTGAGCTCTTTCACTCAAGGCTAGCACTCTACCACCTTCAGCTACAGCTCCACTTCTGGTTTTTGAGGGGCTAATTGGAGATAAGAGTCTCATGGGAACATTCCTTCCTGGGCTGGCTTTGAACCTTGATCCTCAGACTTTAGCCTCCTGAGTAGCTAGGATTACAGGTGTGAGCCACCTGGCTAATTTGTTCCTTTTTATTGCTCCTTATTTCATTGTGTGAATCCATTAACCTGTTGATTGACATTTGGGTAGTTTCCAGTATTTGATGGTCATGAATAAAGCTGAGGTGAACTTGCATGAAGAGATATTTGTGAGGTCATGTATTTCCATTCTGTTTGGGTAGAAACCTAGTAGTAAAATGGTGAGTGAGATTAACTTTTTAAGTAACTAGAGCTTTTCTCAAAGAGTTTACATCATTTTATATTAAAACCAATAATGTATGACTTTCCTAATTTTCCACATCATTGACATGTTGTATTTATTAGTTGTTGATGTTGAGCCTTTCTGATGAGTGTATGTAGCATATAATTGTGGTTTTTATCTTTCCTCTCCTTGATGACTAATGATGTTCTGTGTTTTCATGGGTAATTTGTATATGTCTTTCTGTGGGGTGTTTGTGTGGTCTCGCCCTTAAATTTTTTTTTTTTTTTTTTTTGGGTCTGGTCTTGGAGCCTGGATTCTGGGCCTGAGCACTGTCCCTCAGCTCTTCAGCTCAAGGCTAGCACTCTACCACTTGAACCACAGTGCCACTTCCAGCTTTTTTCTTTTTGCTTATGTGGTGCTGAGGAATCAGACCCAGGGCCTCAGGCATGCAAGGCAAGTACTCTACCACTAAGCCACATTCCCAGCCCTGGTGGTTATTTTTGTAATGAGTACAAAATTATATTTGTTTTAGCTTTGTGTGTGTGTGTCTGTGTGAGTATGTGGTTCTGGGGATGAACTCAGGACCTCAGGATTCTAATAACATCTTTGGAGTAGTAAATAAGAGGTACTTTGAGAGATTTGAAGGTAAATTCGATCTGGCAGTGGGAAGACGCAGTGGTTCATGCCTGGCTGATCCAAACTGGATCTCCAGTTTGAGACTCTTGTCTTAAAAAGCCAGTACATAAGTAAATAAACAGATTGCAAATAATGGTAAATTGAATGCTGTGGACTGACTTGTGGGTGAGATGCTGCACACGGGTGAGATGGCTTGATGAGTGAATCTACTTTGATTTATCTGTGCATTTTGCATGGGGATGTGGACAGGTGCATTTTGCATAGGGGTGTGGACAGGTCTATGTGCACC